TCACCCCAGAACAAACCGGGCTCGAGTCGGGAAAGGAGACAGTCATTTTTGAGCCCACTAGAAATTTTAATGAATGTTAATGTTATTACACACAAAAAAAAGATACCAATTTAATATAGTAAATGGCTTACACATTTTATGAAAATCTAAACGGAATCAAGAAATCAAAAAAAAAGAATTGCTTTGATAGTTGTATTCAGGTCATTGGTTCTGCTAATGTAATATTAAAAAAAATTGTAGTAGAGATGTGCTAATTCGGAAGAAACTAGACGCGAGTTAATTTGAGTCGAAAAGTTCTCGAGTTACGCAACTCGAATTGGCTGAACGGAGTTGTGTCAGTTTGTTATAAATTATTTTTATATTTTGTTCTTCCATCCAACATAATTATTATTACTAAACTTAATTCGTAGTTGTATATTTTTGTTTTGCGTATAGATCTTCATAAAATAATATCACTCTAACTTTATGACAATGATACTTAATCAGTTTATATATATTACATAATATATCAATAAGTTGTTCAAATTAATAAGTCGAGTTAATCACTAAATTCTAGACACTGCATTGACCGTAAGATAAAGATGCTACTCGAGTAGAATTTTGTGACTCGAATAACGCGAGTTAATAATAATTTATCATGTCACTTTAGTTGTACTTGAGTTTTTGAGCTATTCGAACTGACTATTTATAGTCCCTGCATCGATTGAAGTTTATCACTCGAGTTGAGAGTAGAGATTACTTTTGTTAAAGCATTTTAAATAGGTACCTTTATTAAAAATGTAAAATGTGGCAATGTGAAATAAAAAACAAATATTTAATTATTTGTAGTATTTCCATGCTTCTTTTTCATACCTGTAGTATATCAAAATCTATAAACTGCTTTTTACATATATTACAAAATACAAATTGCTTCCATCTCGATTTTTTTTAATACATATAATGACACACTGGCGATTTTTGTTTTGTTGCGCCATTGTTATCACTGACTGAAGCCGTGGTAGCTCAGATGGTTAGCGCTCGCTGTAAGCTTCACAGTACTTGAGCAACCCGGGTTAGATCCCCGCCGGCACCAATGAAAATTGCAATTTTAAGTGCTAATTTACCACGTGCTTGGCGGTGAAGGAAAACATCGTGAGGAAACCTGCATGTCTGAGAAATAAGAAAAAAAATATTTCGAAGACATGTGAAGTTCGCCAACACGCATTGGGGCAGCGCGGCGGACATTTCCTTGCCCTAAAACCCTCTCAGAAATGAGAGGAGGCCTGTGCCCAGCAGTGGAACGTAAATAGGCTGCAACTTTACTTTTAACTTTACTGTTATCACTGATACCGTAAACAAACAAGTATGTTTAAGTCATCTTTTATGTTATGCACTACTTATACGAAGTAACAAAAATAAACAACAATGATAGCACAATCACGATATTATAAATCAAACTAAGTTCATATTTGTTTACAACATGCCAAGATGCAAGTTTGAATTTCGATGTAACCAGTGACGTCAACCGCGGCGCCTTATACTATGTGAATTAGTTGATTAGATGATAGAATTAGTGGATTAGTGAACTGACATCTATCTAGTGCTCTCCGAATCCACACGGTGCGTCGAGTTGACTCGGTAACTTGAGTGCAAGCGGACTCGAGTAAAATTTATTTTCACTCGAGTACCGAGCTACACAAATTCACTCGATGGCATCGAGTGAAAACAGAGTTCGAGTTGCATCACTACTGTAAGAATATAGTCTGTGTCTGTGATTAACTGTAATTGTCAATATATATTACATTAAAACAATTTTCGGTAGCAAAATTAGTTAATAGCAAAAAAGTTTATACTTGTTTGTTTACAAGACAATAAAATAAATATCGTCTCATCGATGCACAAGTGTTTAACATAATATGGAGACTATCATTCAGGTCAATGAGTTTAGTTAGTATGTATGTACAAAAGTTTACTTTTACACCTAGAATTTTGGAAAATCGAAATAAGATCTATAATTTATGATGGATTACCTAAAAAAATGACAAACACAGGTCTTAGAACCTTGTTTAAAATTGATAAAGTATTAAAATTTTATGTTATTAGTAAAATCTAAATTAAATAATAGATAGAATAAATACATGAAAAAAGTTTTTGTGTTTGTTAAAAGAAAATTAGAATCTTTGGGTCGTTTAAGAAAACTTCTCTATTCGATGTAGCTTCATCGGCTTTAAAGAGCGATTCATTTAACCTTATGTATTCAGCAAGTTGCTCCGTAAACTTGACAATACCAAATGGCATCAAACATGGATCCTGAATTTATGCCAGCCACAGTAGATAGACAGTATTTTTTTTATAAAAGAGGGGGCAAACGATCATGCGGCTCACCTGATGGTAAGTGACTACCGCCGCCTATGAACAATCGCAACACCAGGGGAATTGCAGATGCGTTGCCGGCCTTTTAAAAAGGAGTAGGCTCTTTTCGTGACCCCTCCCCCCCCCCTGAACGGGTTCCTGCCTTGTCGTGGCGGGGGGGCTTAGTAGCCGTGGCTTGGTCACCCACGGTGAACAAAGAGGAACCCCTTGGCTGGCCCGTGGTGTAGGGCCGGGCCGAGGTGGCCACTCCGAGTTGGCTTGGCGAGCCCACTTCGGATGTGTGTCGGTGGGCTGCGGTGAGAGGCTTATCCGCTCCCTCTACCGCTGCAGCCGAGGTGGAGTCGCGGAGGAAGAGGAGTGTTGGTATGGCGATGCGCCACTTGCCCTATCCTCCGCGACTCTGACGGGGCCGCGCCGTTAATGATGCGGTGGTGTTGGGGCTGCGGGGGGAGAGGAGTGTCGGTATTGCGAGGCGCCGCTCTCCCTACCCTCCGCAGCCGAATCTTGGTTGGCAGCGGAGCCATAGACCAGATCCGCCGCTGGGGTCAGGAAGGCTGGTGCTTCTGAGTGCTAGTTTTTCCTGGCTCAATGGCCTTCGCGCATCGGACACGGGGGCGTCCTTGGCGCATGTTAAGTTAGAGGCCGAGGAGGAGGGCGCGCCATGTGTTCTGGTGCGCCTTACCTGAGAAGGATATGGGGGAGGAGTAGTCCTCTCCCGAGGAGAGGCCGCCATGGGGCGGCCAGCGCAGTTGGGGCCGCGGATGTGTGCGAAAGCGTTCCCGTGGCCCTGCCAATATGCGACGAGGTTGGAACACCATGGGGTTTTAGTCGGTGCGAGTCCGACATAACCCGCCCTTGCCCCCACGAGGCGGGTATGCGTAGGTATTTCCCCATGTAAAAAAGGCTCTTTTCTTGAAGGTCCCTAAGTCGTACCGGTCCGGAAAAATCGCTGGTAGTAATCGATTCCACAAGGAAGTTGTGCGAGAAAGAAAACGTCTTCTAAATCGCAAAGTGGTGGACCGCCAATCATCCAGGTGGTACGGATGGTAATGCAAGTTTTGTCGCGATTTGCGATGGTGAAATTATGCGGCTGTAATTAGTCCCAATTCCTCAGAGCACTCCCCGTGGTAAATGCGATAAAATACGCAAAGAGACGCAACATCTCTACGCAGTGCCAGTGTATCGAGCCGATTAGAAAGAACTCGGTCGTCGACGATTCGAACTGCTCTGCGCTGGATGCGGTAAAGTGGAAGGAGCTGGCACTGGGGTGCCCTGGCCCAGAGATGAGAACAGTATTCCATGTGAGGCCGGATTTGCGCTTTGTAAAGTTGCAAGCGATGTGTCGGCATGAAATACTGTCTCGCTCTGCTGAGCATGCCAAGCTTTTTAGCAGGGGCGGATCTACTTAAAGGCTTTTTGGGCTGCAGCCCAGGGCCCCGTGAATACAGAGGGGCCCCAACCGAACTGAAACCAATAGACGATATTGTCAATAATAAAAATTATCTAGAATTTAAAAAAATCCGATCATAAGGTTGGCAACACTACGATCAATCAACCCGTGTGCGCATCTATCAAACGGAACGGGGAATTCCCTGTCGCTTGTTTTCGATCGCTGTATTCCGTGTATTGTCTATTACTGGGGTCTTCCCTCCGCTTATCGCCCGACGCAATTTTGTTATTTTTCCGCACTTCTGCTATCGTCGACTAAGTATATTAACGAATTGACTTTGTTATTGTTAGAAGTGTGTTTACTGTTTAGTGCGTGTGTTTAGTTTACTAAGTGATAGATAACTTAAAAGTTATAAGGACCGGACTTTTCTTTTAATTTACTAAAATTGAAAGTGTTCAGCATAACTAGACTTCCTGCTTTTAATAGGCAGTAGGTAAGTAAAAAGAATTATAAAACATGACTTTTTTATTTTTATTTCAGTTTCAAAACTAAATGAATCGAACTCGTTCGATATTACGAACGAACGAACGGTTTCGTGGCAGTTTTAGATACATGGCCACTAAATGTTGGAACAATATACCACCACCTATACGGGAAACTAAATCTGTAAACGGTTTTAAAGCTAAATTAAAAATACACCTTTTAGCATCTCAAAAGTCATTATTTCACGTGTAGTGGCAGGTTATTTCATAGATACATAGATACATCATATATATGGATATATGTGTATGTTTAATTTTAATATAATTTACAATACTTTTATGTATATACTTGGAAATATTTACTTTCAGTGAATGGTAAATTCATTATTTTTCGTTTATGTTGTTACCGATATAGTCACGGGCGCAATACGGAATCAATATTTATCAGGGCTCCGCTGAAAATCAGCGCTGCTGCAGTATCTGTGGTAGCATATGCTGAGACGGAATCCTTTTGGCATCACATCACTCACTCTTGTTGCGATTTATTTTATTTTTATTTATGTTTTTCAACTACTTTGTATGTTTTTATGTCTCATTATTTCTAAATGTATATTTTGTGTGTGTATTGATGCTAATAAACATATGTCTATGTCTATGTCTATGTCTATATTTAATGATAATTTGGGAATTGCTACACTCATTACAAAGTAGGTATTAAAATTAAAAGTTCTATCCAGTTCTTTGTTTATTTTCAGAAAAATATCTTATTTTACAGTATGTCTGCTAGAAAATATAAAAGTGGAGCTGAAAAAAGAAAATTACAGTTTTGTCGAGAAAAAGAAATAAATAAATACGCAAAACTTGAAACTTTTTTTAAATCAGAAGATATAAACGCGAATGAAATAGCTATAAATCCATTAAAAAACGTAAAGGAAGGTATTTTATGTGAAGAGAGTATAACCGAAGGAAGCAAAAAACCGCAAAATCAGAAAAAAAATACCAACGATGAAAATATACAATATCTTGACTTCGAGCAACCCTCTGGTTCCTCTGAAAACGAAATTGGTGTTCAGCAAAAGAAAGGTAATACCGATACCGAGGTGGAAAGAAATTTAGAAAATATTAAGTTTGAGTTTGAGAAATATGTTGACGTGGGCTTGTGGCCAGATTTGCTAAATAATGATTTTATTAATTTCGTCCTCTCACATGAAATGACTGACTTTCAAAATAAAGATCCGAAGAATATATATTCAGCTTCTATGAAGAAATATAAAGAACAAAACAGATCTTTTTCAAATAGGTATTTCACTAGAAAAATGAAAAATGGCCAATTACTGGAAAGATCTTGGTTATGTTATTCAAAAAGGGTTGGTACTGTTTTTTGTTTGACTTGCAAACTTTTTTCTAAAACTCCTTCTCAATACACAACCGGATTTTCTGATTGGAAACACATAAGATTTTGTTTAGAAAATCACGAAAATTCTAATGAACATAAAAACTCAATGTTAGTGTGGTTGACACGAAAAGAAAATAAGTCTGTTTTAGACAAGCAGCTTCAGGAGCAATTAAATAAAGAAACAGAATATTATCACAATGTCCTAAAACGGGTTATTGCAGTGCTAAAGTTTTTGTGTATAAGAGGCTTAGCACTTAGAGGTTCCGAGGAAGTATTTGGTTCTCCACATAATGGTAATTTTATGGGTGCTCTAGAGCTATTGGCAGAATTCGACCCATTCATACGTGAACATATTGAACAACGAGAGCTGCGACCAAACCCTGTAATATCATATTTATCAAAAACAGTATATGAGGAAATAATTGAGATTATGGGTAAACAGATAATTAAACAAATTATAACTGAAATAAACAACGACGACACAAAGTATTATTCAATTATGATGGATTCAACCCCAGATCTGTCTCACGATGACCAACTTGCTATTGTATTACGATACTGTTTTCGGGGAAAAGTGTATGAAAGATGTGTGTCTTTCATTAAAATTAGTAGTCATACTGGCTTATATTTATTTAATATTCTAGAAGCCTTTTTGGAAACAAATGGACTACTACTGGATAATTGCAGGGGACAGTCATATGACAACGCTGCTAATATGGCCGGAATCTACAATGGTGTACAAGCACTACTAAAAGAAAAAAATAAATCCGCGGATTACGTGCCATGTGCTGCGCATTCCCTTAACCTAGTTGGTCAAGAATCCGTGAAGGTTGCAACCGAAATTGTAAATTTTTTTGGAATAGTGCAAAAAATATACGTTTTCTTCTCTGCTTCGACCCATAGGTGGGAACTATTAAATCGTGAAACAAAAGTAAAATTTACATTAAAAAGTTTAAGCCAGACCAGATGGTCTTGTCACTTTGATGCTGTCAGAGCTTTGAAAAGCAATTATGATGGCATTATGAAAATTCTCAATAGTTTCGGCGAAAATAACGATGAAAAGGTTGATTTCCGAAAAGAGGCACGAAATTTATTTAATAAACTGGCGAAACTAGAAACTGCAATTTTAATTCTGTTCATCAATCAATTTTAATTCAGAGTCTGCGCGCACGCACTCAGCGTACGGACGTGTTGCTCACTATTATTTCTGTATTTCGTAGGTAGTACCAAGTAAAATGGTTCAGTGTAAAAAGTGCAAGTTATTTGTTTCTTTAACAAAAGATGATGTTATTAAGTGTAAAGGTTCATGTGACTCTGTGTATCACAAAAAATGCTTATCGAACGTAAAGGAGTTCCAAAGAACTCAGCTGTGTGAATCATGTCACAAAAGTGAAATCAGCCCTAAAACGCAAGTACCTAAAATTAATGTAGATATCGAGAAAGCTAGTGCCGAAACGCTTCTAGCAGAGGTCAATAAAAAACTGGAAATAATTTATCAAACACAAAAGAAAATTGATGACCTAACAGAGGCCGTGGATTTCTACGCTGAACAGTACCAAATGATGCTTAACTTTAAGGAAGCCGCGGAGAAGAAAATGACTGCTTTGGAAAATAGAAATAAGTATTTAAAAAAGTGCAATGACTCCTTAGAAGAGAGGATAATGTTTTTAGAACAAAGGGAAGTGGAGAAAAATATTGAAATAGCGTGCCTGGATGAGTCAGAGAAGGAAGATACAAAGAAAATTGTTGAAATTGTTGCACAAAAATTAAATTTAAACATTGGTAATATAGAGAACGCAAATAGGGTAGGTCGAGAAAAGAAAGGAGAGGGTAGGCCGAGACCTATAGTCGTTACCCTACGAACCAAGCAAGCTAGAGATGAATGGCTAAAGCAAAGAAAAGTGTTAGTATATAATAAGGAAATTCTCGGCAACAGCAATGGCAAGCGGGTGTATATAAATGAAAATCTTCCTAAAAATACGCGACAATTGTTATGGAACGCGAAGAAAATGTTAAAAGACGTTTATAAACACATATGGCCACAAAACCTTAAGGTTTTGGCTAAAAAAGACGATAACTCGAAAATACGCTGGATCCGTTCGGATGCAGATATCAATAATATGTGTTTCAACACTGATAACAGCAGCGTATAGTAAATAAAACACAATAAATTAGTATTGTGGAAGCTCACTGTATGTGAATACCTAAAGACACAAAATGGATGATATTTTATCACACATCGAGGATAAATATGAGTATAAAAAATTTCTAGATGCAGGTACGTGGAGCACACACTTAAAAACAACCACGGAGGACCTAAAAATAATTCACCTAAATATTCGTTCTCTTAGGAAGAAGTTTAATGAATTGCTAATACTGCTTGAACGCACTAATTTTAGTATAGACATTATATTATTAAGTGAAATAAATATCAGACAAGCGGAGCTACCGTTATATTGTATAGATGGGTATGATATGCACGGGTATACAAGAGAAAATCGACGAGGAGGAGGCTTATTAGTGTACTCTAAAAATGAATTGCGCCTGCAAACAGTAAACCCGCAAAGCTGTGGTTTGGAAATATTGCACAGTCAACTTAAGAGCTCTGACACCACCATACACATAATCACCGTATACAAACCGCCAAACACAAATAAGTTATGCTGTATTCAAGAATTATCTGTACTAATTAAGCAAATTCCCGAATACGAGGACGTCGTTATTGCAGGTGATATGAATATCAACTTATTAGAAAAAAATACAACCACCGATAAATACAAAAACGCAATGTATAGTTACGGAATGCAGAGCGTTATCAATGACTTTACTCGCGAGGAAATATTAGCCGGTAGACTCGTAACGTCGTGCATCGATCATGTATGGGTACGTACACGCAGCCGCCGATTCGCTTCACATATGTTTACGTGCAAGTTGTCGGATCACTATATGGTAGGTGTAAGTATTACCAAAGAATCAAAAGGGGTAAATAGAATAAGTCTTACTAGTGGCAAATATAAAATGTATACTTTGAATAATAAAGTAATAACTCGTGAGTTAGAGCAGGTTGATTGGAGTAAGCTCGTAGAGATAGATTGTCCTTTGATAATTTATGAACAATTGTGTAGTGTTTTTGCACCTATCTACGATAAAGCTAAAGTTAGTCTTAATTGTAATAGAAAAAACCGGGTAATACAGCCGTGGATCTCTAAAAAAATTAAAATATTGATAGATAGAAGAGATTATTTATTCCGTAGGTGGAAGACTAGTCCTCAAAATGTTACTTATAGATTAGAATATACGAAACACAGAAATCAAACAAATAAAATTATTAGCAAAGCTAAAAATAACTATAGAAGGCAGGAACTATCACGCTGTCAGGGAGACTTTAGGAAATTATGGGAAACAATAAATTGCTGGCTAGGAAATAGTAAAAATAGCTTAGATGACGTAGTAATTAAGTATCTAGGAAAAATCAATAGTATAAGTAATATATGTTCAAAATTCTCAGAAACATTTACAAAAGAAATTGATAAAATAAAACATCAATGTAATATTAAATTACTAAATCGCGAGACCTATGTAAAATCGAGTGATACCACTTTCTATTACAAAAAGGTAACCGAAAATGAAATAAAAAAAATAATTAGTCAACTAAATAGTAAAAAATCGCCAGGTTTAGATGGAATAAGGCCGCAAGATCTAATTTTAGTTAAAGAAAAAATAAGTCCAATATTAGCAAAATTTGTGAACCTTAGTTTTAAAACAGGCTTATACCCAGACAGTTTAAAAAAGTCTATTATCCGCCCTGTTTATAAGCAAGGAGACCATTGCAATTATTCAAACTATAGACCTATTGCAATATTGTCTGTTATTAATAAAATAGTGGAGAAAGTGATAGTTACTAGAATTAGTGAGTATCTAAAAAAAAACTGCATAATTACAGAAAAGCAGCACGGATTTAGAAAATTACGTAGTACATCGACGGCCTTATCAAATTTCACCGATGATATCAACGAATGCTTAGGTAGTAAGCAGTATATATTTCTTTTATTCATAGATTTTAAAAAAGCGTTTGATACGCTGGACCATGAACAGCTGTTGGTAGCTATGGAAGAGTGCGGAATCCGCGGTCCAATCAGTTCATGGTTTCGTAACTATTTACACAACAGAATGTTGTGCACAAAGATAAAAGAAACCATTTGTCATGGTAAATTAGTTAGTACTGGAGTTCCTACTGGCTCTGTGTTTGGCCCTGTGGGCTATATCATGCATGTAAATAGCATGGTAAACGTTGTGAAAAACTGCAGAGCATACATGTATGCTGACGACACATGCATGATGTATGCTGACAGGGATATGAAGGTGATTGAGAACAAAGTACAATCGGATTTTGATAATGTAATCAAATGGTCCCACGATAATGGAATAATTTTAAATATAGAGAAAACGAAATGTATGCTCATACAATCGCCATACCTGCATAAACCATGTATACCTACAAGTATAAATATCATAGGCCATTCGTATGATTGCTTGCATAGAAATAAACAATGCATTGGTTGTAATTCGATTGAGCTTGTTGAGAATTACAAATATCTAGGATTAACCATAGATACTAAGTTTAGTTGGAATTTCCATATAGAACGAGTATGTAATAAATTAAGATCGTTATTATGTAAGTTTGTACACCTTAAAAGAGTAGTTGATAAAACAACATTACGCATTCTGTACTATGCTCTCGTGGATTCTGTAATTAATTATGGCCTTTCAGCATATGGACGTACGTTCCGAACGTACATGGATAGGATACATAACCTTCAACTAAGATTTATTAAACTGTTAGTTAGTAAGCAAGCTAAAGAGAAAAGTAAGGGTAACTATAATCTATTGTTTAAGAAATGCAATATTCTACCAGTACGTGAAAAAACAAAGTATTTATTAGCAATTGAAGGATACAAAAGTAAATTTTTAGTTAGGAAATCAATTTATGGTAATTTAAGAAAGAATACACGTAAATTGTTTGAGGAACCAAGTGCGCAAAACTACTTTGGTGAAAGGACGCGTAGGTATTTAGTGCCAAGAATATTTAATGAAAACGTGCCACAAGAGGCCTGTAAGACAAAACAAATTTTTAAAAACAAATTGAAATATTGGCTACTGAATGCCATCGGAGACCTGTAGTATTAGAGTAGTAATATTTAGTTTATTATTAATTATTAATCTTAATTATTTTTTATTAATCTTTATTCATTATTAATTTAATTTAAGATATTCGTTTTCTGTCTTTTATAGCTTTGTTATTAATTTAGTGATAAGTGTACTTTACCTACTTAGTCTTTAATTTTTTTTTAATTACTTTATAAGTTTACTATATGTTTTGTTTTAAAATTTATTTTAGAGAAATATTAAAATGCAATTGTAAACCTTAATGAGTGCAGTTTCGCCAATAAACTGTATTCTCAGTTTGGCGAACTTAATGTTTTTTGAACCAATTGTATTTACTATGATAATAAATAAATTAAAAAAAAAAATATATTTTTTGGGAAGAAATTTTGGAGAGATTTAATGTAGTTAATAAAAAAGTACAGAGCCCTGGTTTAGACATTGGTGAAGGCAATAAGTTAATTGTGTCATTAAAAGAGTTCGTGAAAAACATAAGGCAACAATCAGATCAGAAGCTAAAGGAATACGAAAAGAAAGCTAAAAAATTAAGTACTAGTGTGGAAACAGACTACAGTGACATAAATAAGAGACGCATTACTTCAAAATTTTCAGATAAATCTACAGATAAAGTCTCAGTAAACGGCGCAGAAAAATTTAAAAGAGACACGCTTAACGTTGCGTTGTATAAGATGATTATGGATTTAAATTATAGAAGCCAAGCCTATGAGACCTACAGCAAAAAATTTAAATTTTTAATGGATTTGCAAGATAGAAATCAAGAACACATAGATCTGGAAAGTGTACGTAATATTATTGATTATTATCCAAATGACATAGACGAACATTTAGTGAATGAGTGCATTCAGTTAAAATCTTACTTACTGCAGTCTAAGACAGAGTCTTACACCTCTTGCAGTGAAATTTTTTGGCTAATTTATGAAAAGAATCTTGTTGATGTTTTCCCAAACTGCTATACCATCTTAAAGATTTTTTTAACGATGCCGATCACTAGCTGTGAAGCGGAGCGTTCTTTCTCCAGGATGTCGTATATAGAAAACAAATACAGGACAACAATGTCGAACTATCGACTAAATCATTTATCAGTTCTTTCAATAAATTGCGATTTAACAAAGGACCTACAGTGCGATGACCAAATAAAAGAATTTGCAGCACAAAAATGCAGAAAGGTTGCTTTATAATTTATATAACATAACCATCTATAACCTGTCAATTTATTTTGCAATAAATAATGTTTTAATAAATAAATAAAATATTTTGTTTTCCTATTTTCTTCCTGTACTTAACATATATTACATTACATATACCTACATCACTTCAGAAAACAGTTTCTTGTCAAAATGGCAATTAGTTGAGTAATTAGGTAGGGCCCCTAAGCAGTATTAGCCCAGGGCCCCACAAATTCAAGATCCGCCCCTGCTTTTTAGAGGCCAGTTTGGCCTTCCCTTCCAAGTGACCACAAAACTGCACACTATTCGATATGTCGATGCCAAGGATTCCGATGATAGCTGAGACAGCAAGGGGATTGCCTTGAAACTGAGGAGATACGACAAAGGGGTTCTTTTTAGCGGTAAACGCGCAAACTTTTGTCTTCTGGGGATTGAACTGGACTAGATTTAGTCGCCCCCAATCCGAGACTTTGTTCAGCAAAGAATCGACTTCAGACACAAGTTTGTTCCGGTACTCGGCGACATTTTCCCGAGAAATATTGGCACGGCCGGTTTATAAGGCATCACTAGTGCTGCCGTCTGCATAGCAATAAATGTTACTAGTTTGCAATATATCATTGATATGCAGAAGAAACAGCGTTGGTGATAGCATGCAGCCTTGGGAAACACCAGCGTTAATAGGCTTGTAGTCGAAGCATGCACCGTCTACAATGACGTTGATGCTCCGATCTGCAAGGAAGCTGGTGATCCAATTGCACAATTTCTCGGGAAGCCCATAGGAAGGGAGCTTCGAAAGAAGCGCT